CAGCAGGACCCTTTCAGTAAGGACGGCATGGCTCAAATACATTATATGCTTGGCACTAAGTTAGTGAGACCGATTTTTTTCTCTTTTGTCTGAAAAAGCAACTGAACTCTTTTCAGAGTTGGTGCCAAGTGTCTGATTTTAAGCTTTTTTGTTTTTGTCTTTAGTCTGAAATGCAAGCAGAGCAGTAATTAGATAAGAACCTTGTGTTTGTGCTGGTTATTATAGGATGAAAAGTTAACTTGATTCCTCAGGCATTTTTGTTGCCAGCTGTGTTGCCTAGATTAATTCACAGTTGTTATCTGTGTAAGTTTGGCCTTGCAGGTAGAAGGCCAAACTTATACATATGACATTAGACAGGCATGGCTTATTGCCACTGCTGTGTGTAGGCACGAACCCTCTCTGGAAAGTAATTCTCCAGTTATGTTAATAACCAGTAGTCTTCATTAAAAGTTGTTATACTGCAGTGCATCATATTTCAATATCTCAAGGTCTCAATGTTCGTGCTTTTTAAACAGCCCACCATTTTTTCCTGGCCCTTTTTAAAAAAAAAAACATGTATAGGTCTGCACATGAAGGTCATAGGAGTAGTAGGGCTCAGCCTTGTTGAAATTTTTAAGTGGACTTTTTTATTTTTCTCATGAACAGAACATGTTTTTGGCCATTATCAATGATACATACTCTGAAGTCAAATCAGATATGGCACAACAGAAGGCAGAAATGGAACTGTCTGACCTGATCAGAAAGGTAAAAGTAACATTTTGTTTGTTTGACATCTCATTCCTCACATCTGAGCTTACTCCATAAAATGCTATATAAACCGTTCAAAGTAAAGCTGGCAGCAGCTGATGAAAATACACATCTCAGTTAAAATAAATTAATCTGAGCTGAGTGTAAATTAAACAAAAGAAGGCTTCCCATCACAATGTATTTTAGTCATCTGAGACTTTGTGTTGAAGGATCAGCCTACTGAATGCGACACAGGATTTGTCTGTCTAGTTACATACAGAAATATTGAACTGATGAAGCTAAACTGCTATTTGGTTTGGTCACAGAATTCAGAATTACCTTGTTTCAGGCAATAAGATGAGGCAAGTCTTGGATAATGTGTTGGGAGCTCCCAGGGCAGCTGCTAGTCAGGTTGTTGAATACAAACTTAAGAGCTTGACCTGAATCCCAGTTTAGGAAAAACATGTGCATGTGCGTGTGCTTTGGCATGGATGCGGTGCTGTACTGTGGTCAGAAATGTCTAAACACATACTCAGCATGACTGGTGACTCAGAGTTTAAAACTGGGAAACTGGTTATTAAAACAGAGCAGAGAAAAAAGAAAAGTGCTACTTTGTTGGGATGAGGACTTTTTTTAAAAGTCATTCCTACAACTGAAGAATGAGAGAGAAGTAAAATGACCAGAGAAAGTTGTATCTGTTTTGTCAGCATTATTTAAAGCTGTCACTTAACTGTCAGTAGCTGCCACAGGTGTCTTACTGGGACAAAATACTCCATTCCTCCTGACTTGCAGTGCAAATTGAATGATGAAAGCTTTACCTCTAACTGCAAAGGTATTTGTATGTTGCCCATTTAAATGCTGAAATAAAAGATGGATAAACTGGAGGAAAAGACAGATTCTTGCAGGGCTTTTGGAATACACTGTATGATAGTGTACACTAGCTGATTTTTGTAATCAAAAAAGTTATTAGAAATCAAGTGTTACCATTTCATGGCAAGTAAAACATGAAATTTCACTCTTTCTTTTAGGGCTACAACAAAGCCATGATCAAACTTAAATTGAAGAAGACTACTGTTGATGACATTTCAGAAAGTCTGAGACAAGGTGGGGGAAAACTAAATTTTGATGAACTCCGGCAAGATCTAAAAGGGTAAGGAAGCTGTTACTTCTTACCTTGAATAGTATCCCCAGAGACATGTGATGTTAAGTCTTTGAGTCTTTCTCTCCCTAAGAGTAGCTAATGTGAGTAAAGACCACACAGCAGAGTACGGTGCTCTTCCTGTATCTGACGGGAGGTTTATGTAAACAAACAGATGTGTACAGGTAAACAATCTTTGCGTATGGGTCTGCAGGCATTGCACAAAGGAAAATTCAAATTGTGGCATGGAACTGCGGAAGAAGAGAGAAGAGGAGCGGGAAAAGAAATGGTCAGTTTGAGGTGGAAGAGAAGCCTTAACTAAGGAGGTCTGCTGAGATCTGGCCCCTGGAGTCTGCACTGTGGCTGGTGTTGCTGCAGTGGGGCAGCATCCCACAGCAGAGGAAGAATTTGGCTCTCTGGGGCCCAACCTTCCTGAGTTGCTGTGTTGTGAGGGAGGAAGTGTCTGAGGAAGCAGAGATCTAAGGTCTTTGAGGAAACAATAATGTTTCTATCAGAGCCGCTGCACGCGTTTGTGAACAGGCAGGAGTCCAAGGAAAGGGAACAAATCAAGGTGGTATAAAAGGGATGGCTGTGAAGGAGCAGGGTGCAGTTTATGGGAGGTTTGTGCTATTAATTAATGAGAGGTAAGGGCTGAGCTTTTTATTATCAGTGCTGTGAATTTATAGGCAGCAGTGGGATCAGTCATGTCTTTGGCTTGGGGATGAAAGTCTGTTCGGAGTGAAATGTTTTTCTAATACTTGAAGTTCATTCATTGTGTGAGCCGACACAGGCAGGACAAAAACAACCACAAAACCACGGATGAAATGCAAAGAGAAAATTTATTTTTGTTATCTTGCCAACTGGGGGATCCCTGAAGCAGCACCCGGGCAGAGGCACACAAACGGGAACACAGGCACCACAGAGCTTGGTCCTTGCTAGATGATCGCCGAACCTGCTGCTTTCGCCCGTGTATCAGGGATTCGTGCAGGCGTAGTTTACCACTGTGCTTTGAACCTTCCCACAGCAGGGCAGGAATCTCAAGCATGTTCGATAGAGTGCTTCTGAGTCTGTCACAGGCCTGTGTTATCTAAATACAGATGTTCTACTTGTCAAGCACACAAGACTGAACAACGGTTAATATGATACGCGTGTTTTTCGACACCCCCAACTGCAAGTCACTTGAGTGTGTTTACAGTCCTCCTCGCCATTCTTCTGTTATTTTCCCACATTCAGCATCTGAAAAATTGAAAGTAAGAGAACTGGTTTTACATCCTTTCCAGGAAGGGGCACACGGATGCAGAGATTGAAGCAATATTTACCAAATATGACCAGGATGGGGACCAGGAATTGACAGAGCATGAGCATCAGCAGATGAGAGATGACCTGGAGAAAGAGAGGGTGAGCTCAGTGTTAGGAGTGGTATGCCACCAGCGCCATCTGCCAGTCTTCTCCCCATGCTGGTTTGCTGCCCCAGAAGAATCCTCTTGTTTCCCTTCACATTTGCTCTCATCCCTTGCTGTCTGAGCAGAACTGTAAAAAGGCAAGGGGGAGCTGATGGAGGGCAGGAGGTCTTTGACCTTGACATCCCCATCCCCCGTGTACAGGTGAAAGTCTTTACATCTTCTCTGTCTGTGGCTTGTGTTTTCACAAAGGAGGATCTGGACCTGGATAGGAGCTCTCTGCCACGTCCTCTGAGCAGCCGTAGCTTCCCCCGGAGCTTGGACGACTCTGAGGAGGATGAGGACGAAGACAGCGGACACAGCTCCAGGAGGAGGGGCAGCAGCTCTAGTGGGGTTTCCTATGAAGAGTTCCAAGTGTAAGTTTGTCCTTCTGAGGGGGATGAATCTGCATGCTGTGTTTGGGTTGGATTTTTTTTTTTTTTTCCCCCTGTGGGTTTTCTTCTTTCGGTTATATAGTAGTCTCTCCTATTACTCTGAATATTAAGCAAATTCTTCATAAAAGTAAATGTTATGTTTTTAAGGTGCTCAAGTCACTCCTTTTAGTGGATTTCAAGTAATATCTGAATTGGAAGTACTTTAGAGAGGCTCATGGGAATCCGTTGGAAAACCAAAACCAAATCAAACCAAACAAACAAAAAAATCCCAACAAAAAAAAAACCTCTGTCTTTAAAACCTAGTCATTGAAAAGACAGAGAAAATGTTCATGCTACAATAATGCCAGAAGACTTTTCTGGTTTTTTTCAGTAGTAAAACTTTGAGGGTGTTTTAGGTTCAGTGAGAACTTCAGCTGTTGTTTTTAATAAGATTAAGTTACTTGTAAGTGTGTATTTTGCCTAAAAGGATAGATCTCCATATCAATTGATTGTAGCACCACTAGCTGAATGAAGAATTTGAGTAACTAGAACCAACAAATTTTGGGAAAACAGAGTGGAATATGTACTTTTTTCCCATCTGCTTTACCCCTGTTTTACCTTCTTGCTCTTGTGTACCTTGTCCCTTCCTGGACAGTAGGATTCATTTGTGAAAAGTCAGATGCGTCCTTGAATTAAAATGCTGTCTTATCCTCATCTGCTGTGTGTGTTGGCGTGCTAGAATGATACTGACTCAGAAATGTCAGAGTCGCTGAAGCTCACGCTTGTTGCCCTCAGACTCATGAGGCGGGTCGATCGCATGGAGCATTCTATCGGCAGTATCGTCTCCAAGATCGATGCCGTTATTGTGAAGCTCGAAGCAATGGAGAGAGCCAAACTAAAAAGGAGAGATGTGTTGGGAAGACTGTTAGATGGAGTGACAGAGGTAAGACACCAGCTCTCTCTTGTCTGGTCACAACCTGCATGGCTTGCTTACCATTAGCACTTCTTCCTGCTGTTTTACTTGGGAGGGTTGAGGGAGTGGTGGTAAAGACGAGGTGGGTGCTTTGGCAGCGGCCAAGTGGTTTCAGTTTTGTGTTAGGAAAACACGGAATTTAAAACATGAACTGTTAGGGACATGATGCAAGCTTCAGATATGACAACCCATCTTACAGCAGGCCTGTGTCATGCTGAGGCAACAGAGCACCATTTAAACCCCTGAACTGGACAGCAGTGGTGTCCGGTAGTTGCTGAAGCAGCTCGTTCATCCCTTGGTGTCTGTTGGGATTAATACAGAGCTTTTTATGGACTAGCCTGTTAAAGTCTGGGGGATCCAGCCCAGCAGGCCCGTGCAGCCTGCTCTTCTTCTCCCGTGTTTCCTCTGGGATTGTGTATGGCAGGTGGAAGCAGGTCACCTCTGTCACCAGGGTTATCTAGCTTCCATTGCCTCCCCTCCCACCTTCTCTTTCTTGATGGCCCTTTGGAATTGGCCAGTAGGACAAACGTTATTTCTGTGGACGCTAAAACCTGTCAGCTTCCTGATAGGGCAAGAACAGCCAGAACAGGGCTGTTAAGGGGTGGGTGAGATGGACTGTCTTGGTGGGTTGTGTAGGTCAGACTTTTAGCTGCCCCGTCACAGGTATGGTGTTCCTGGCTGTTACTGTTGTTCCAGCCAGCAATTCTGCTTGATTCTTGAGATGGGGCTTCCTTGTGGGTGTGCTCTCCTCAGTATATTTTACATTTCTGGAGGTGGATTTAAATGTTAGGAACTGTAATACAAATTGTGCTTTCATAAGCGAAGGTGACAACCTGGGCATTACATCACTGGCAAGAAAACAATTTACTGCACTAGCTGTGGTTCTCCACTAGCCTATGGAAATACTTAAGTGGTATAAGAATTTCCCATGTTTGTATAGGGTTTTGCTTAGACTGCAGTTTGGAAGCTGTGCTTCCAGCTTGTGTCTTTTAATCTGCTTAGGATGAAAGACTGGGTCGTGACAATGAAATCCACAGGGAACAAATGGAGCGACTTGTGCGAGAGGAGTTGGAGCGATGGGAATCAGATGATACGGCATCCCAAATGAGCCATCGGTTGGGAACGCCACTTGGACTGAATGGCCAGCCTCGTTCAAGGAACTCTCGGCCATCTTCCTCCCAGTCGGATGGTATTGATGGGGCAGGAGGAAATGGGGGGAATAACATCCATGTGTAGGATTAACTTTGTAGGTGATTCTAAACGTTTCAGGTCAGTATTAAGCCAGCAAATACACTACTCCACTGTTTCCCAGCATGAGGTGATCATTCTGATCAGACCACTAAGGGCAATTTTCACTGGTGGGCAAAAGTAAATATTCTCTTCGTAAGGCATTTTCAGACCTATGTAAGCCATGCGTCACGTTCGAGTTGCCAACAGTGAGACTGTCAGCCTTGGAAATGAAAATGCAGGAGACAGAATGGAAACCAGGTGTGACAAAATCTACCTGGACAGAATTTTGGTTCCATACGTGTATTATGGGGAACACTTTCACGAGGGCAGCAAGCTTCAGACAAAATAATGTGCTGTGGCTAAAACACTCAAATGAAAGGCTGTGAGTTTTCTGCTTTCTATTAGAAAATATGATTTTTATAATGCTTTTAAAAGCAATTTTTAAAAGAAGATGGCATCAGTTTCTTGTCTCATTCATTACAACAGCTGACACTTTTCAGAGAGATAAAACAGCACTTTTTTTTTTAGTTTCTACCTATTTTTCTGAGTTATTCTTGGTGTACTGACGTCTTAATTAACTTTAAATGTTCATTTTTACTGTTTTTGAGAAATACTATGTTTCTTTAAACAGAAGAAAGTGCACTTAGTTTGTACAACTGTAAATCACATTATTCCATAATAGAAACGGTATACATTACATGGTTTTGCATTTCATTAGCATTTCAAAAGTAATATTTGAGAACTGCCTCTTCACACCCAAGTAACGTAATAATTTTCAGCTTTGTTGCAAAGTGCCTATTTTTTAATGCTATGTTTTCATGACCTAAGTGTTCCTGGGATAAACATTCCACAGGTTCTTAGGTAAATATGGTTACTTTGCAGAAAATATTTTATTTAAAAGCACACAAAATTGAAAAACAGTAACTCTTCCTTGGGTGTGAGAGGGAAGGGGGCAGAGAAGTTGCTGACAGTTGGGAAAGTCCGATCTCGTGCTCTATCACGTTCTAATCGCGTCTCGACTATGTAGTCTGTATTTACATTTAACAGAACTGCTTGTAAAATTATTATGTATATTTCTACATACGCTTTTCTGCTGAGGTGCAAGACATGGTTCGTTTGGAAAGGTGTTTGTAGTATAATCACTGATGTTTAGTATTTTGTTTCCTCTGCTTTCCGTGTGGTAGAAGCTTTGTTTTTGAAAGGAGATGCAACGCTGAAATTACGTTGGTTTCCTATAGAAAGCATTGAGGCATAGTGTTTGTGGTTTTGTCTAGCAACGTGTTTCCATATGCGGAATGCTGGGGGGGAGGTTGTCAATTGTGCTTTTTTCCTGAAGATGGCAGTTGTCTTGTATTTAAAGATTTAGAGATGGCGTAAAGGAAAATGGAAAGCTACGTAATCAAACACAGCTATTAATAGGGTATATAGAGGAAAAAAAGCCTATTTAACAAAGTGTAAGTAGCATGTATATGTTATGTTGGTGCTTTTTATTTCAAATACCAGTTGTTGCCAGCAGTTAGCACCTCATTCTTGTGGTACTACTGCTTAGGCAAAGCTTAAATCTTGCATATGCTCTTACAACTGCATTGTCTGGATGTTCAATGACTCAGAATGCCTTCCCTCTAACCAGAGAATTTGCTAAAACTAAATAGACTTCATGCCTTTCCCTATTTTTAAGTTTACAAGAAACCATATGTACAGAAACTTAATTAATGTAAGCTGGAGCAGGAAGAAGTTCAATGTGGAGACTGGAATTTCTTAGCAGCTTTGGTTTGAGAAGAGGAGGACGTGGGAAAACAGGTTCTGATTCTTGTGAAGTATGTTTTCTTTCGGTGGGTTATTTTGTCGTGTACTAGGAAGAAATTCATACTCTTTCACAAGAGACCCCGTCAGCTTCCCAAAACAGTGCACAGCACAGTGGTTAGGGCATTTGTATGAAACGAGAGACACTCGGACTAAGCTCTGTCTTGCCTCGATTGAAAGTTTTTGGGCCTTAGAAACCTTCCTGAGGAAAGCTTCTCTGTGTTGAACTGGCACTTCTGACTTGAAACAAACAAACAAACCAACCAAAAAAACACTAGCCATACACATGGCCAGCTGGCGTGCAAGGAAACAGAAAATACAATACAAATAAATTTAAATATACGTAGCTTTGTCTTTATAATCATACCCAAAATCTGCAGTGTGTTGGTATGCGACGTGATTTACAGCTTAAACTTTGAGGCGTGCTAACTAATTACATGTGTAAACGTGTAATTGATGTTGGGTTTCTAAGAGTATTTAAATAATCGCGTACTTAAAATCAATGACTTCGGTCAAATGACCCAACTTGAGGTGTCCAGCAATCAGCTGGAACCTTACTAAGAATACCTTGTGTTAAGGTTTGTGCCTGTGGCCTGTAAAGCGTGTGGCTTGCTGAGGTTTACGGCAGCAGGGACTGGGGAGCGTGCAGAAGTGATCTAGTGGTCACCTGTTGGTGAGGCAGGGCCTTCCTGGGGGAAAAGAAAGCTAAACTAAACCTATCGGTATGAGTTTAAATAGGTTTCCTGTAAAAATGTATCTTTCAAAGTGTAAATTCGATCACGCAGCTCATCTTTTATTTGTAGTATATGTTTATTACGGAAATGAAAATGTTTGCATTCACAGCTGTATTTGTTGAGGTATATTTCTGTAACGTGTCGTTACTTAATAACAAACTTCATCTTGAAGTGCAGTAAGTTTTCATGGGGTACCCGTGTGTGTTGACAGTGGCCTTGCAGTAACTGCGTGGCCACTTGACAAATGTTGCAAACTTTTTATTATTTCATTTTTCAACTTTAGATTACAATATCATTTGTCACTTATTACAAAGGTAAGGCTTTTGCATAGTGATGTACAGTGTTTGGTCTTATTAGGAAGCTGTTAATTATGCAAGTCTTCTACAATGATCAAGAATGTATTGATCTGTAAAACTGAGCACTTTACTTCCTAATAAACATTTTATATAATCTATAAAGCGAACATTGTGGCATACACTTGGTTTGTTTATAACGGAACGTTAAGAATTCTACGTTTTATTTGTGTGTGTTACTTCTATCTCATACCTTAGTCTCAGATTACCTAATAATGTCAAAAGGGAGTGCAGAGTGTAAATGAACAGAGAGGACTGGGCTGATCCTACTGCTTCGTTGCCCGAACAGTACTTTTTTTCTATGATAAAACGTCTGCAAGCAATTGTTACGTGTATATTTAGGCACCAGCGGGGCTTTTTTGGTTCCCCGCTTACATGGAACATGCAGTGCAAGCGAAGGGGATAGCAACTGGGGGTGGAGGAGTCCTTCTCCAGAGGTGGTTTGACAAGCACTCCTTCAGGAGAAGGTTTGTGCTGTTTGTGTCCCTGGCCCCTCCCCATACAGCATCGCTGTATGCTAGAAATTATTTTTTCAAGTAATCTAATTGCGTGTCATATCAAAGATACAGGGGAAGAAACTGAAAAATCTTTTAGCACTCATGATCATGAAAACAAAGTAAATGTTTATCAGGAGGTTAGCAACACTCACTGCATTTTGTCCAGTTGCTTTTGCTGGAGCCATCAAACTGGCTGTGTAGCTGTTAGGATGAGAGTAATCACCATGGTGAAGAAGGATGCAACTTTGGCTTGAAACCTTTAAAATAAAAACATTAGTTGGTCTTTCACCAGGCCAGAGCTTTCTGGTTTGGCTGGCAGTGTTGCATGTTTTTGTTGTCGTTTACGCTCAAAAAATTCTTTCCAATTGAAGCTTGTTGAGAAAGAGACAAGATAAAAATGGGAGGAGGACTGCTTCTGTGTAAGGAATAGTAATTAGAATAGCGTGTGGTTGCCCAAAACTGTCTGCTGGATAGGTAAGGATTATCTTTTTGCATTTTACTGTTGCAGAATACCTGTCTATTGTGAAATAATTTATCCATGTGAATAGCATGCTTGGCAAAGTCCTGCTGGGTATTAAATCAGCCAGTATCTTAGAGAAGAAATAAGCAGCCACTCTGTGATATCCACATATATACTTATGTCTAGAACACAAAAATAATCATATGTTTGGATCATATTTTACTAGCAAAGTGTGACGGATGCGCTCAACCCCTTGACCAGGCTGGCAGTGGTTTGGTGCAGGATCCAAAAGAGAAAGGCCTGAGCTGTAGATGGGTGTGAACTCCTTCAGTTTCAATCTGTTCCCTGAAAACCCACAAAGGAACAGAGTGACTCCTTTATCGAGGAACAAAGTAAGTTGTGGGTACAAGAAGTCTTCTGCATACCTCCTCTATCGCATGTAATTTGACTATGAGCCAACCACTTTATCCTGTAAATGTGACAGCCTAAGCGAGCCTTTTTGGAGCTCGCCCTGGTAGGCAGTGTGGCTGCACGGCGGTGATCTCCCCTTGAGCTGGGACCCCTCAAGGCTGCTCCTCGAGGCAGAGAGACCTTTCACCAACGGCAGATCTTTGGTAAGAGACCGATATCTCACATACGGTAACTTTGATTTTGTCTTGGTAACTTTGATCGCATGTTGAATTGATGCTAATGAAACATTATAATCCTTTAGACACAAACCGTTGTCCAAGTCTGAGACTAGCATTGGATCCAGCCGCACCTAGACTCCTCTCTGAGGAAGGAGTTTAGAAAGCAAGAGCGTCCTTTCTGAACCTCGTGACTCAACGGGAGGGTTGGTAGGGTCTTCCTACTCTTTGTATTTCTTCCCTTAGACATAAACTGTTATCCAAGTCTGAGACTAAGATTGGACCTAGCCGCACATAAGCTCCATCAGGAGTTTAGAAAGCAATGGGGTCTACTCTGAACCTCGTGCCTCAACGGGAGGGTCTTCCTTACTCTTTGCATCTCCCATCTCTCTGTGAATCGTTCTAACTCCAGTGTAACTCAATTTTCTTTTGTATGATTCTTCCATGCAGTAATCAATAGAGTGAACCTTGCCATTGAACTTTCTTAGGTCACGCTTTTACATCATCATATTAAAACCACTTTTGCTAATTCCTCTGTCGGTGATTCCTTAACCATTGTAAATCGCCCTTTTGCAACACAAAGTAAGTATATTATATACACAAGGACAGTGTTCAAAATAGTCTTTCTAAAACATGAACACTTGAATTGGATGATGTATGCTAACACTGACTAACTATTCCATTTTTGGGGTACTGTAAATGTAAAATTGCTTCTGTAAATGGTCTTAAGGATTATTAAGGCCATTTACACCTTCTCATGAGTGAGTGGCAAGACTAGGTCCCTACAGAATCAAACGATAATTCTGTTGAGAGCTGTATATCAAATCTGTCACTTGTAATCTGTTTAGCAGGTGCTGTAATTGCACCTATTCTTTAACCACAGCAAGGCCTGTGATAGAAGTGAGAACTCTGATAGAAGTCTTAGTATATTGAACCCATCTTTACTGATAAACACATACATTTGTCAAATAGTACTTTGAATTCACTCGAAAAGATGCAGTTTTCAATTTAAAAAAAAAAATCCAAAATGTATGTCTTTCCTATAATTATTTATTACTTTGAAAACTGGACTTCAGTCAATTACTTGTTGTAAAACAAGTCAAAGAGGAGGATGCCGCTTCCC